CCCCTCCCCCCACCGCCTCCAATGCCACCAATCAATCCGATTAATCAGTCCATCAGTCAACCAATCAGTCAGTCAGTCAGTCACTCCCCTTCGCTTCTCCGCCTGCCTTTTCTCCTAAGGCTGATGCCCGACAGGCGCGTCTTCTCCAACCAGGACCCCAGCTTGGCCAGCGCCGCCTCCCTCTCGCTGCAGGCCGCCCGGCCGTGCCGCCCGTCGTCACGGCGCACTATCCGGAACTTCCCGGCGCGCGTCACCTCCTGCACCGAGCCCTCCTTGGCCGTGGCCGCCTCGTCCATATTGGCCGTCTCGGTGCTGCGTGTGGTGGGCATCTCGCGTGGTGGCGACCGGTTGACCAGGTTCTCTTCCTCGACGTCGGTCACGTTAGGCGAGGCCTCGATGAAGGTGATGCCGCGAATGAACTGCGTGAGGGCCGGGGGGGAGCCGTCGGATGACGGCGAGCGGCCATTCAGCCGGGACAAGATGGACAGCGCCTCTCGCTGAAGGCTGAGGTTCTCCTCGAGCAAGTCGTGGTATCTGACACGCTTTGTGGCGTCGCTGTCACCGTCCTCTCCCTCTCCCTCTCCGTCGGCCATGTCATGCTGCTCCTGCTGCAGTGCGTGCCGGTGTGTGTGGTGGGGCTGCTTGTCGGACGGCTGTCCGGCCGCCTCGTCTTCGGGCGGTGTGATGCCCTGCCGTGTGGGGCTCTCGAGGATGGCCGCTAGATCACTGGCCTGCCCCACCTCCAGCCTTAATGCATTCTGAATGATGTTCCGCTGCCGCTGGACATGCGACTGAAACCGACGAACAGAAACACATGACCAGTGCCAGGGTCTGTGCAAAGGGGTGCGTCATACCACGAGCAGTTTCTTCTCTGCCTCTAGCCTCCGTATCTCGCTGTCCTGATACTCCAACAACCTCTGCCAGATGTCAACCTGCAGAACACAATGCCGGCACACACACGCGCACAACTGTTGTGTTCTCAATGCGCCTTTGTGTGCCGTATTAGTCACCTGGCTTCTCAACGCCTCAACTTCATCCTTTAGTCGGATCCTCTCGAGCAGCTGCCTCCGCTCTCTCTCCTGCCTCTTGTCGTTGCCTGAACTGCTGGAACTCCGTGACGCCTGGCTATCTGACGGAGGACTGTCCAGCGGCCGACGTATAATAGAGCCGGACGTAGAGATAAGCATCAGCAGTCAGCGCCTTGAGATTTTCTTCTTGCTATCTGCGAGCTAAGCGTTCCGAGCTACTTCGAATTTTCCCCGGCGCCATTCGCCGAGAAGACGAGCACACGCAGCAGCGCGTTGAGTGTGTTCAACGATTCCATCGTCATTTGTCGAGATCCATCAACCTGAAAGATGCCGAAAGGTTCATCGTCAGTGTCGAAGGCCAAGGACTCCGGCAAGACCAAGAAGCTGCTCAAGCTCAAGTCCAAGCTCCAGCAAGCCGCCAGGGGCAAGATCGGCAGCAAGCAGAGGGAGAAGAGGGGCAAGGGCGTTAAGTTCGACTATGACCAGTTCGCCAAGCAGTTCCGAAAGCTGCAGGCAGGCGGCTCGCGGGCAGATTGGGAGGTTGCCGACGACGAGAGCGTTGCATCTGACGAGGCGTTTGATGCCGATGACGAGGAGCAGTACGGCGAGACTATAGCGAGCATCAAATCGAGGGCAGAAGGGGCCCAAGAGGGACAAGAAGAGAGAGAGGAGTGGGACGAGGGCGACGATCATGACGAGCAGATGGACGCCTCGGCCAATCCAGGGCTCTTCCTGGACAGATTCATGTCTGATGACATCGACATGCCCCTACCCGACCAGCCACCGGCCTCTCAGAAGCCCGCCAAGCGGCGAGGGATGCCGAGCGGGCAACATGACGACGAGGGAGAGGGAGAGGGGGATGGGGAGGAAGATGCGGATGATCTGTCGAAGCTCGTTGAGATGCCTGACGAGAACGATGCCCCTGACCCAGCAGAGCAGTTGCGCCGTCGCGTCTATCAGGAGTCCAGGCCTGAATCCGTCTTCGATATCGGCCCAGGTACGATTGGGCCGCAACCGCGTGTATGATTGGATGCCCGCTCGTTCGTTCGTTGTGTGTGTTGCCTTCCTGTTGTCATTCAGACGCCGGTGGTCGACGGGATCAGATCACGACCGATGACATTTTGGCGACCCTCCAGACCGACGCCGCACCGCCGAGAGGCGATGGTGCAGACCAGGACGAGGAGGAGGGGGAGGGGCAGCGAAGCGCTCGGGACGATGGCGTTCGTGGCGCCGCCAGCCAACTGAGATCTGAGCTAGAGACCCTGCAGAGAACAGTAGGCCGATGGATGGATGGATGGCCAACGAAATGAATGGACACGATGTGTGTGGATGTGATACTGTGCCGCGTATGTGTTGTGTGTGTGCAGACTGCCGTGAGTGAGCCGTTGTCAGAGCCCAAGGCGGCTCGTGTGGACAGGAAGCTCAAGTATGACTTTGCGAGGAAGGACATACAGAAGTGGCTGCCGCAGGTCAAGAGGAACAGGTCAGCCAGTCAGTGAGTGAGTGACGACAAACAGCCCCTTCATCTCGCCTGCCCTCCTGCATGTGTGTGTGTGTGTGTGTGTGTGTTGGTTCAGGGAGTCTGAGCAGCTGCAGCTGGGCCAGGTGCCTGACGGCCTCAACAACTCTATGTAAGGGAAAGAACACACACACACACACGCATAAGGCGACCGAAGGAGACACCGCACCGTACACTAACTACACTATTCCGCTGTGGGTGTCAGGGCCAACATCGTCTCCTCGTTCAAGCCATCGACCGACTTCGAAAAGGTGCGCACTCACACCCGACCTATCGCATTCATGGCCTTCTGGGCTGGGCGGGTCCTCAGGAGTTGTTGACGGCTCTGGAGGAGTCTGGTCTGCAGGAGAACGACAGAGCGGATGAAATGCCCGACGTGGGTGGCGGGGAAGAGGTGAGGGGGCGGGGAGGGGGAGGGGGGCTGCATGCGCTGCGCACGTGGTGGGCAGGTCGGCAGGCAGGCAGGCAGGCAGGCAGTCGGTAGGTGGTGTATATAATGATGAGACTTGTGCCATAGGAAGTGCCGTCTGATGGGTGCCTTATTGGATCAGCACCCACACACATGACGCACAACAGCACTGCTGATCGATACATACATCATCGCACACACAAGCACCCACACACATCAACGTGTGCACTCATCACCGACCCCCTTCTTGGTCGCCCTGTCTCTGTGTGTGATGTGTGTGTCCATCAGTCCGCTACATTGAAGCGTCTGAAGGCCCTGATGTTCCGCGAGCAGCGCCGCAACGCCCGGCTGGCCAAGATCAAATCAAAGACCTGGCACAAAGTCCACAGAAAGGTACGCATCCATCGCACACCCACGCACACGACGCAGGGGGGAAGTGACATCTGTGTGTGTGTGTCGTCATCCCATCCCATGTCAGGCGGAGGCTCGCGAGAAGGAAAAGCTCATGGCGCGGCTCGCTGTGGAGGACCCCGGTAAGACCATATTCAACACACTGCCGACTTTTGTGGACTCCCACTGACGCGCCTTAATTGTTCAGAGCTGGCGCAGTCCATCCAGAAGGAGTACGAAGAGAAGCGAGCCAGGGTAAGACATCCAGTGCCCCACCATAACGACACACCCACACAATACCGTCATCCCGTTGATTTGATTCGCTGCAGGTGCGTATGTTGGAGCGGTCAACGGCGCGCAAGAAGTGGGCTCGACTGGCGGCTCGGTTCGGCGGCAAGGCCGTGCAGCCCCTCATCACCGAAGCAGCACAGCGCGAACACGACGAGAAGGCCGCCATCGACAAAATCGCCAAGACCAAACCCGGCAACGCATACACACAAGGTAGGTAGGGACACCGGTGGGGCGGGGCGGGCCAGCGGAGCAACACAAGACACAGACACACAAATCGGGACCACTTGTTGCAGGGGAAGATTCGGACGAAGAAGTTCATTTGACATCTGACGAGGAGGAGGAAGACGACGACAAGGCCGAGGGAGGTGGTGGTGGTGGCAGCTACGAGGAGCAGGTCAAGGGCAAGGCCAAGCTGCTCGCACTCGACGAGCTCAAACAGACTGACGGTGAGGGGAAGCGGCGGGCGAACCCATTCACATGGGTATGGATGTCTGTCTGCATTTCGCAGAACCTCTGCCCGACACGGGTCTGTTTGCGCTGCCCTTCATGCGCAAGGCCATCGAAGAGGAGAGGTAGGAACCTTGCTTGCACACACCGACACCACACACACACGCACCGGTGTGTCCCTTCCTATATCTTCTGTGCGTCAGGGAGTCGAGCCGTCGTGAGGCCGAGAAGCTCCTGCAGGAGCTGGAGCAGGAGACCGACACCCATCCACACAGAAGACCCGACCCACGAGACGACCTGCAGCTCGACCAAGAGGACAAAGAACCCGATGACCACGAGAGCCAGCGGATCGCCGCAGAGAAGGAGGCCAAACAGGCCGAGAAGGAGAAGAAGAAAAAAGCCAAGACCGTCCGCTTCCGGGAAGAGGACCTCGAGAAGGCCAGGGAAGAAGTGAAGGGGATGCTTGGCCAGGACGGCGACCTCATAATGATGGCTGGCGACCACACACACCGGCCTCGAGAGTCCCTCCCATCTGCCGCCCTGCACACCAGCACCTCCACCAAGGTGCGCGTCGACCAGCCCCTCACCACACGTATGCCGGCAAAGCGACCACGCGACGAGCACCAGCACACAGACGAGCAGGAGCACCCGCCAAACCCCTGGATCGATGGCTATGTGCCTCCCAAGGACGACAGCAAAAAGAAGAGACGAAAGACCAAGAAGGGGCCGGCTGGTGGGGATGGTGACGGTGATGGGGCTGGTGGCGAGGAGGAGGATGTGTTGGCAGGGTTTGACGTGGGCAGCACTGAGGAGAGGGAGCAGCAGCGGGAGCTGCTCAGACAAACCTTCCAGTCGTCGACACACGTACGCACAACCCACCCAACGCACTTTGTTTGCTTCATTGCACCAAGTCCCCGGTCTGTCTGTGTGGGTGTGTCTGTAGGAGGACGATTTTGTGCGTGAGGTGGGCCAAGACGAGGACGAGAAGCTCACCGCCGAAGAGAAGAACACATCAGCAGGTTCGTTCACCACCCCACAACACACAACATCCACACATCAGACACATATCACCCTCTCTCTCTTCCCCTGATTGGTTTTGTCAGATCTGCCCGGGTGGGGCGAGTGGGCGGGGTCTGGTGTGCGTCCGAACCGCCGCAAGCAGCGGGAGAAGGAGGTGAAGGAGCGGCAGAAGCAGGCTGCCATCGCCAAGCGAGAACACCAGGTGCGGCGGAAGCCTGTGAGCGTCACCCAATGCCTCGACAGGAAGGCCGCCAAATACTACACCACCACAGTAAGTCGGTCCCACACACCACACCGCACACAGACGCAAGGAGGGAGGAGGAATGTTTGTGGTGTGGTGTGGTGGATACTTACTTCAGGTGCCTCATCCATATCAGTCCAAGCAGCAGTACGATCGGATGCTGCAGTAAGCAAGAGTACACACAAGGCCTGGGGGAGGGGCACCGACAAACAAATCGCCCGTGTGTGTATGTCAGGCACCCGACAGGCCCGGACTGGAACACCACTGCCGTCTTTCACCGACTGATTCAGCCCAAGGTACCAACACGCAGACTCGCAGACAGACAGGCACAGCACAGAGGGGGACAGGACAACACTCCTGAACCCCTCTGTCATGTCATATACTCACTCTTGTTTGTGTGCCATCAGCTGAATGTGCGTGTGGGTGCGGTGGTGCCCCCACTCCAACACGCCAAACACCTTTCGCCAAAGGTAGGGAGGGACATCGATGACACGCATCTTCCTCGGTGTGACTGCAATGACTGGACTGGTGGACTGCATGTGGTACTTGGTGTGGCGTGTGGTTCAGGCTCGCGATTCGTTGCTGCGTGCATGGGACAGCAAGGCCAAGCCACAGCAGAGGAGAACCAAACTGTGATGGATCGTGAGGTTCTTGGGGCGGTCTGGTGACTTCTGTGTGTCTGTCTGTCTCGTTGGGCGTTCGTGGCTATCGTGGATGAGAGATGGATTGGGTTGATGCAGTCGAATGCAGCGATGCACGGTCGAATCATTCACTCATTGGTTCGTTAATGAAACACTCTTGTCTGTCTGTCGATCTGTACAAGGGCCGTCCATCCAGGGAGGGAGGCAAGGGAGTTCCACCAAGCGTAGAGTATGCACACGCACACACACACACACCCAGCCCGTCCCACCCCCCCCTCTTGTTTGTCTACACCACACCCATCTCTCTCTCTCTCTCTTTCTTTCCATCCCTCCCCCGTCTTGCGCCGTCGGGTGAGCTACACCGCCTCGCCGCCACCTATAGCGAACTAGCCTGCCATCATTGCACACACACGACGATCAACACGCATGTGCGCATGACGTTCTCACACCTCACCCCCACTCCCTCTCACCCACCTGTGCCGCCGCCATCGCCGTTGTCGTCCTCATTGGGGTCCTCACCGTCGAACACTATGGGTGCGATCGGTCCCAGGACGGGGCGCGCCAGGGCGGTGGTGCGGGGTAACCGGTCCTTGAAGGGCGCATCAGCAGACACACCCACTGCTGGCGGCTCGGTCGTCAACACCCTAGCACACACTGCAGACACACAGCACAGCGGAATGGGCTGTCTGTCCAAGTGACACTCTGTCGTCTGTGGCTTGCCCTGTCCATTCCCCAAGTCTCCGATGGCGATGTATGCGATGAATGGGTGGTCAAACGGCGTCAGCAGCAGCTCCTTGTGTGGTGCGTCGTGAATGGTAAATGCTATGACGGCCGTGGTGCCCTCGACCGGCTGGTGGACCGACTGGTCGAGCAGACCCGCCAACACGCCGCCACGCACATCGCTGCAGACAGACACACACAGACAGGCAATGAAGCATCAGGGACGACCACAATCGGTGTGCCGCTTCCCGACTGGCCGACCGGTCTATGAATTGCTCGGTGAGATGCATGTCGTCAATTGTGCGCGCCAGGATGGTGCTCATCAAAAAGGACGAAAATGACGCCTCGGTGTACATGTCATCAGTGTACCAGGCGTGTTCCTCCTCGTCGTAGTGGCCGATGTGGTGTCGGACGGGGGGGTCGTGGGGGCTGGTGTGTGGGTGGTAGGGGTGGGCGGGGGGCAGGGGGGTCAGATTGAGGCGGTACTCGGGCTCGTCCTTGATGGCCCGCAGGTCGCCATTGCCGTGGTCGAACAGCTCAAATCTGCCCCGCTCGCCACCGAAGTTGACTTGGCGGCCGACGATCTTCCACAGCGCGACCACACGCGGCTCAGCCAAATACGCCTGACGTCACACACATCCGTTACATCACACACACAGAGATGAGTGCCACCTATCCGTTCCCTTCGCCTTTCAGCCCACTCACCTGTTTGCTACGGTGTTTCTCTAAATCATGCTGTGTGACGATGACCGGCAGCTCACAGTAGGTGAGCTGATGGGCCAGCCGCAGCGCGTCGGCCGCCTCGTCCCACCGCTGGCACTCCACGAGCCACCACGCCTGCACCCACGCACACACAGACACACACACACACACGCAGAGTATCCATCCATCCATCCATCCCACGTGTATAGGGCACCCACACCTGCAGCAGCAGCTTGCTCCCGAGATTGTCTACGTCGAATGTCACTACGGCATCCAGCGGCGTCCCGTCGATGAGTTGGGTGTCGTGCAGGGCGCGGCGGAGGCGGCGGCGGAGCACAGCCGGCTCGAAGTCGACGCGCGAGAGGAACCGGGCGCTGATTCTGAGGTTGCCGACCGCCTTGATCTTGTGCAGTTCATCCCTGCCCTCTCGATGAATGACGTCGAGGCTCTGGTTGCGGATTGCAGGCCAGTCCTGCTGGCTGCTCGTCCTCGGCACTCTGTTGCCCATGCCCTCACGTCCCCTGGCCCTCCCGAAACCCTGGAACCCAAACCCTTCAAACCTTGAAACCCTCCTGAGTCGAGGGAGCGCAAGCCGAATCACGTTCCCCTCGGGGTTACAGACACGAGTCTCGTTAAACACAATAACCAACCAACCAACGTTCGTCTGCAAGTCCTCCTTTTGCCCTGGTTAGTTCTGATATTGGAACCGTCAGATCTCGTCGGATCCGCAACCCCGTTTGCTGACACCCAAAACAGTCGTCCGGGATGCCGTCCTTTCCGTCCGTTCAGGAGCACTCGCCCTGGTTAGTTCTGATATTGGAACCGTCAGATCTCGTCGGATCCGCAACCCCGTTTGCTGACACCCAAAACAGTCGTCCGGGATGCCGTCCTTTCCGTCCGTTCAGGAGCACTCGCCCACGCCCGTACCGCAGTCGTCCACGCTTCCCTCCGCCCCTCCTGGCTTCGTCCAGCCGGCGCCGTACGCCATCGGACAGCCGCTGGCGATGGCGGCTGACCCAACGTACACGCAGATGGTCCAGGGAGGGGCGGGAGGGCCCGTTGTTCAGCAGCCGTATGTGCAGCCGCAGCCGTTTGGCGGAGCTCACGTCATCCACGTGGTCGAGGTGCAGGACAGAGCTGAAGAATCTATGCTCACCTGCGCAAAGGTGACATAGATCGAGAGATGGGCAGATGCTCGCACAGGCAGACATTCTCCCTCTGTGTGTGTGGGCAGATATCGTGTGTGTTGTCGATATTCTCCCCCATCATCGGCTGCATCGCCTTCTGTGTCAACCTGGATGCCAAGAGGGGGACGGAGAGGTACAGGTGGGCCCGCTACTGCCTCATGACCGCTTTCGCCGTCATCGCTCTGGTCATCATCCTGCGGCTCATCGTGCTGTCAGTGTGGTTGGGTGAGGTGTGAGCGAGAGCATCTCGCTGGCCTGGCGCCTCCACGACGGCCGTGAGGGCTCGTTGTGTTGTGATGCGATGTTGGTGTTCTGCCTGCCCTGCTTTGCCGACTGACTGACGCCGCTGTGAGTGATTTGGAGCACATGAAGATGTTTCCTGGCTCACACACTGCCGTGTGGGCAAGGCAATGTCCTTTATGCGGTTCATGTTGGTCACGAAGGCTGTCTGTTGAAGTAGGGTTTTGTTATTTTGTCAGCGTGCATACAACGGGAATGATTGTGAGTATCGCCGTCCTGTACATCTGTGTCTGCTGTGCTGTGTCTAACCTTCCCTCCCTCTTAACTAGCCGAGTGTCGCCTGGCCTGTGCTGTGTGTGCATCGATGCATCGAGATGTGTGTGTGTATGTGTGTGTGTGTGTGTGTTTCTGAATAGGCCTTCCTTGATTGACTTGACTGCCTTGTGGGTGGTAGGGCTGGGCTGCAGTGAGTGCATCCCATACACAGTACTGATGCCGTCTGGTCTGGACGGACCCAAGTAGATAGGGAGGGAAGGGAGATCTGATGGTTGTGAGGAGGCAGCTCTGAGTCGACCCTTCTGTTGATTGACCGGGGATGAATGAATGAAAGCCGTGTGCAATGCAATGGACCGATGTGTCAGATAGATCGTATCAGGCCTCGTCCGCCGTCAGTCAGCAACAGACGCACACACACACACACACACACATCGCATGCAGTCCGTATGCTCCCCAGCAGATGAAGTCAGCAAAGAATGGCCCCACTGCAGCCCGTCTGCTATGAATGACCTAATCCACCACAGCAACCAGCGTTACCAATTCCTGTCATCACACCACCAAGACACATACACAACGAGAGACAGAGAGCAGACACGAGACAGGGCGGCGATTGCCCGGTTTGCCCGCGATGTTTTTTGTGAGGGCATGCGCATTCGGGACGCCCTGACGGCAGTCATTGCTGAGACAGGCCAAGTGTGGGCTGAGGCCAAAGTTTTTTGCGCCTCCTTTTTCGTGAGGCGCTCTGAGCGGTTTTATTGATATGTCCATAGGTGCGACGTGTCCCGATGACGCCCTGATGTGGATAGTCACATGCAGTCAGTACATAAACCCTGACTGACAGAGAGTGCTCTTTTCTCGATGGTGACTCGATCAAAGAACCCACCCACCCATACAACGTCTACATGACGTGAATGTCTTCACAATGAAAGAGACACGTGCCACCACCAACCAACTGACACACGTGCAGCCAGACAGGGATGGCGTGGCCCACTGGACTGGACTGCGACAAGCAGCTCTTAAAAGATATGGACACACTCCATCAAGCTGGTCTGTCTGTCTGTGTCAACGAAGGCAAGAAAGGCGATCCATCTGATTGCAAAAGCGAGGGAAAAATGTCTTGCATATGGCGGAAGAATGCATGTGGACACGCTGATGAATAGATGTATTCGCCGATGTAGATGTGCAAAGGTAGGTAGATTGCTACACAAATGCTCATCCGTCTCGGCGGTTGATGATGCGGCGGATGAAAAACTTGACGACTTGCAAGTCGGATATGCCCCCGAAGACGGCCTCTCGGGCCACATCGATGAGTGCCGCCTCCACCCGCACCTCATCAGATGCACCGCTGTCTTGGGGCGGCTCCACCAGCAGCGACATGCTCATGCCGGATATGCCATACTGCACACACAGCACAGACATTGACATGTGCTGTGTGTGTTGTGTGTTGACTGACCTCTTTGACTTTGTCGATGACGTGTTGCAGTTTGCCGCCGTGGCGCTGCTTCTTGTCGGCCGCCATCATGTCCATCTCACGCTCGATGGCCGAGACCAGACGACCTGAGTCCCACAGCTGACCGGCAGCCAGGCCTCCCCCACCCCTCACACCATCCCCGGGTGGCCACTGGACGGCCCCCCGCCGCTTCAGTGCCCGCAGGAAGCGCCGCAGCTGCGCTATGATGACGAGTGCGATGCCCTTTGGCAGGCCGAGGTCGCGGCCGATGTCCTCACCAGCCGCCACACTGTCGATGTCATCCAACATGTCCAACAAACTCACTGCCGTAGTGATCTCCACCTGCACACACCGACATGACAACACACACATTCACGCAGAGTGCCTCCACTCATGTGTGTTGCTTCGCCGCTGACCATGATGTTGTCGGCAACGTGTCGCATGTCGGGTGATGGGTGGGCCTTGAGCAGCTCCACCAGCTGACCCTTCGTCAGCTCATCGAACGGAATCACAGCTCCCTCCCTCTCGCCATTGCCGTCGTCCCGTCCCCCCTCCCGTCCGTGGCCGTGCGTCGCCCCATCCGCCATGCGATCGGGCGTCTCGGCATCTCGTGTCTGTTGAGGCGCATCGGGTGCCTTGGGGACATGGACGCGCTGATAGGGTGGCGGCCGCATCGTCAGGGCGAAATCGGGCGGAATGTCGCCACTCGACAGCTTCTCGGCACCCGCCGCCTTGAGCGGCTTGGGCAGGGCTGGTCTGGGGTGCTGGTGACCGGGCTGATGAATGAATCGGTTGGCGGCCTCCTTGATGTCCTCGCCGTCACGCTGCCCCACCATGGCCGGCAGATCATGGCGCACAAACGAGTCGATGGACGCAAAGCTGAGAGCTGGGACGGCCGCCAGCATCGCCCCAATGTTGTGACCCACTTGACCAAACACACGACAGAGGACCATCCGCTGGGCGTGTGTCATGGGCTGCTGGTCCTCAGTGCCGGTGTCCATCTCCTGCTGGCGGCATGCCCACGCGGCATCGATGGCCGCCCCCATGGCCTCCCTGGTGGCCGCTGAGAGGGGCGCAGACTGCACCGGGGTGCCCGGCAGGACCACCTCGACGGCGAGCTGGGTCAGGGCAGACCCACTCCTGAACCGCAGACAGAGAGGCGTGTCGGGATGGGCTCGGCCGAGTGCCTCCAGCTGCTGGTAGAAGTGGCGAATCAGGTCTCCCTGCTGGACCGGCGTCACACGAGGGCCGCGAGTGGGCGTGTGATGATCCTGCAGCCCACCAGGGGGGCCCTCCCGCAGTTCACTTCGGGCCTCGATGTCCGAGGGATTGCGGTCGAATCGGTCGTCTCTGGGGGGCAGCGGTCGGTTGGTGACACGGCGAGCCGTAGGGTGCAGAGGCACACCGCCCCCCACACCACCGTCACGCAGCTGAGGCGCCAGTCGCTGTCTGCCGGGCAGAGGACGTTCGTCGCCATCGTCGGCCCTTGTGGCATCAGCCTGGTCGCCA